AAATAAATATTTTCTATAATGGTTTTCCCATGTAATTAATAAATTTTTAAAATAAAAAAATTATTATAACTATAAAGCTGATAATTCTTAACAAAATTTTCTGTATAGAGATAACAATCAGAATTTCTGGAGGAGGAAAAAGAAGATAACTACTAGAAAAGTTCGCTAGTTTCAAATTTACCAGCAAAATTTCATCTATAAATCTGATGTATTTTGAAAGTGGAATCGGACTCGGATCTATTTGAATAACGAGATCCTACTTACCCGACCCGGCTCAAGGCCCACCAAAACGAACTTATAAGGCGGTGGTGACTGCCTAAAAGTCACTTAATCCAACGGCTGGGATCCTTGATGGATGTGGGTTTATCATTTCTGATGGAGTTTACATCCACCGAATCCCGACCACATGGCAGATTTTGGCAGCGGTAGAATTTAACAACAAAGTTATATAAAGTCACGCCCCTGTTTTCACCACCGCTATATCATCACCCTCACTCTCACCTTTCCTGCTGCTGCTTCTTCCTCTTCTTCTTCTTCTTCTTCTACTGCGACTCTATAATTTAATCGCCGAGAAACAGTTGCCATCAACATCGGTCTCGTCTAAGAAGAAATTATGAAATAGAAGAAGATAACAGTTCCCTCTCTAAACAAAAAAGTAAGCCCTAGGTTTCCTTCAATTGAGTTTTCAGCTCTTCGATGGATTTTTCCGAGACTGATCATCGTCAATCATAATAAGATAAAAGGTCCATTAAAACTGAAGAGAGAAATGTTATTTGTATTTTCAATGTGATCATGATATCATTTCGCTTGTTTTCGTTATTTGTTTCCTCTATGCGTCTTACCTGCAAAGTTCTCGTGTGTGAGTGTCTCTGATTGGTCTAAAGCTTTTCCTAAGCGTTGAGGAATGGGATACTTTTGCGTATATTGGTGAATTTTTGTTAATCGGTCGGTTGATCTCGTAGTAACCCTAGCCTCTTTGCGGTGTATATGTATAAACGTATATCTTTTGGTCTCTTTTCCAGTGTTAAAGTTTTGGTTTCGGCTGAAATTCCGGAGTGTGTACTTTGAGGCACTGTCTCTGATGAGTGTGGAAGTTACGGATTTTGATAATTCACTAGAATGTCGGTTTTTTTGCTCCTCTTTTCCTCCTCTCCTTTTTATTCTTAGTCTGACTAGAAAAGCATGACTGTACAACAATTTCATTTGACTTAATCTTCATTTTACCTTCTGATGATAAATTTTGGTTTTCTTGCTTTCGATAACTAGAACTGTTTGTTTGTTTTTATCAAATCTATTGGTTGAGAAAACTTTTTTCTATGCTCTGTTTTATTGAATGGAAGGTCTTAACGAATTTCTCTGTTGAAAACTTAGGGTGACTGATTAATTAATGGGAAATCGAGGCCAAAAGCGTACAGATATGGGCGAGCTGCCGGCTGATAAGAGAGCTTGTAGTTCCTTGGAATTTAGACCGAGTTCATCTAATTCATCGGTTCAATCCCAAATCAATTCTACAAACTCCACAGCTGAAACTTGCGAAGCTGATATGGAAACCTCATCATCTGTTTCCGCCTCAACCCGGTCAGAGGAAGAGCCAGAGAAGGATTCGGCATTTGGGTCATGTGACTCTGATGATGAAGAGCCAAGACATAGAAGCCTTCGTGATTTTCAGAGGCGGAGGTCGTCTGGGGATCATGGAAAAGTGAAGAGTATTTTGTCAAGTTTGAGTGGAGAAACTGAAGTTTCTGGGCAGTTAGCTGCACTTTCAGAGTTATGTGAAGTGTTGTCATTCTGTACAGAGGATTCGCTCTCGAGTATGATGGCCGACTTGTTGTCTCCAGTTCTTGTAAAGCTAGCAAAGCAAGAGAATAATGCAGATGTGATGCTACTAGCCATTAGGGCTATAACTTATCTATGTGATGTATTTCCTCGATCATCAGCTTTCCTTGTTAGACATGATGCAGTTCCTACTCTTTGTCAAAGGTTAATGGCTATCGAATACCTAGATGTTGCAGAGCAGGTGTACTGTTAAATATGGTTAATTTTTCTTCCAATTGAGTGAGTAATTTATCATGCTGGCAAAGACCTTAATAGATGGTATATATTCATGTTATTGCTGCAGTGTTTACAAGCATTAGAGAAAATATCTAGGGAGCAACCATTAGCATGTTTACAGGCTGGTGCAATTAAGGCTGTTTTGAGTTTTGTTGATTTCTTCTCAACAAGTGTTCAGGTTAGTATATATGTGGTATACTCTCATGTTTTTTTCGACAGAGACGTGCTCGTACATTTTAGACATGTTTGAGTCTTTTTTCCTCCCCGGAAAAAGAACTCTTATTCTAGCTTCAAGCATTATGATACATTACAAGAATTTTATTTAATTATATTTCTCTCTTGCAATAGAGAGTTGCACTTTCCACTGTGGTGAACATATGCAAGAGGTTTCCTTCTGAATGCTCTTCCTGTTTCATGGAGGCTGTTCCAATATTTTGCAATCTACTCCAGTATGAGGATCGACAGGTGTGAATTTTGTGGAGTTATGCTTTCTATGAAATTTTCAGTAAAACCTTCTTTTCAGATGATCAATTAAGTTTCAAAACCTTGACTTTCTTTTTCCTCAATTTTTCAGCTGGTTGAAAGTGTAGTTACTTGCTTGATTAAAATAGTAGATCAAGTCAGCCAGTCATCAGAGATGCTGGATGAACTTTGCAGGCATGGGCTAATTCAGCAAACAACACATCTTATTAACTTGAATGGCCGAACTACAGTATCCCAGTTAATTTACAATGTGTGCTACTTTCTTGGAACCTTATTTATAAGGTTAGTGCTTCTATGTCTTACTGCCTTCAAGAGTGATAATCCCCTCTATGTTAATTTGGCAGGGTTTGATTGGATTACTTGCAAAACTCTCTTCTGGTTCAGTTTTAGCTTTCAGGATTCTTTATGATCTTAACATTAGCAACATTTTGAAAGATATATTGTCTGCTAATGACCTCTCACATGGGATGGCATCTACCCATATTATTGATGGACACATCAATCAGGTTTATATCTTCAGCACAAATTTCCTTTTTTCTTTGCAATGTTAATATGGAACCTATGTTGCTCAGCCTCTGTAATTTTAGTGCCATACTAGTGTCGAACACAAGATATTTGGGGATATGAGATTTGTTTCCGATACTTGATGTGCATGTCAAGTCACATGATGGTATAAAACTGGAGATTATATGTACATATATATATATATTAATGTCAATTAAATGATTAAGATTCCTAGTTTAGGACTTCAAAAAGAATATAAAAATGAAAAAACTGGGTACCAGATGTCTAAATTTTGGATCTTTTTGTGCAAGACACACTTAAACCACTTGTATTACTAATTCTGTATCAATATTTTCTTTTCATCTTCTTTAATATATGTTGTATTACTAATTCTGTGTCAACATTTTCTTTTCATCTTCTCTTATATTTGTTGTATTACTAATTTCGTATCAATATTTTCTTTTCATCTTCTTTTATATATGAATCTGTATCTTTCTTTTTTGGTTTGTGCTAAAGATTGTATTTTGTTGTATACATGAGATGGCCCTGGCCTCTTATAGGCTTATATGAGTTCTGTTATTTCCTATATCAAAAGAATTGAAGTAATTGTAACCAATTTTTGGACTCCTTCTAACCAACTCCCCATATCTGTTGCTATGAATATGTAAGTTAGGCACTTCGATCCATGCCCATACTGGATGCTTGCACTCAAGCCCAAGCAACATAGTACAGCACTAGTGAAATGATTTTGTTTCTTAAAGCAAGAAAACAAATAGAGGATGTTGGTACAAAACCATGTTTATGTAGACAGGGGAAGTCTCAAATAATAAATTTGTCCTCAATATTTGTTAGAATTTTTCAATTAGAAAAATATTTTCCGGAGTCTTACTTTTCATACAACTGAATAATGTTTCTTTTCTTTTTAAAATTTAAAGAGGTGGAAAGGTGTTGCAATACATATGGGAAATTCTTACTGAATGGGGAAGGACTTAGTTGTTATTGGATGATTGTGCTTATGCATGTGTAAGAAATGCTGTTTGGAGATTCTGTGTGCAGCCCCTGTAGTTGTTTATACAACTTAACTTGGAGAAAGAAAATAGGTCAAATGTTTTGTTCCAAAAAAAAAACCCTTGCATGGTTCTTGTATGTTTCAGGCAACACAGGTTTAGTGTGAGAATGAAAATCAATGGTTCCAATGATTCTGAACCTGAGGATGAAAACCTATGGTTTTAATTGATTCTTGACTTTGGTTTTTATATGGAAATATTGATAAGTTTATTAGCCACCAGCCTTGGATATCATTATAAGATTGGAAGTAACAATTCTGATGACAAATTCAACTAGATCATGCTATGGCCCTTCTACTTCAGGATCTTGTTATGGGATAAATTGCTATATTCTCGGTAAGGGAGAATCCAGGGATCTCCAAGAAAACTTTTTTGGACTTATTTTTTTTGCTTCCTCTTCATCCCTTGCAGACTCAGTTTTATACAGACCGAATAGTGACTGCTTAAGATGAAGGACTGCCTATTCATTAAGACAACAAACCTAGAGGGTGTTCGGACTACCTTACATTACATTAGATTATAAGCTCTTTGACAATGTACAAGCTGATACAGTTGTGTTAAAAATAGCTGTTGAAATACTTGGATAACACAAATTTATAAGCTGTATTAGTTTATTTACATGTTTGGTGAAGATAGTAATTTATAAACTGTTAGTCTATTAAAAATGACAGAAGGGACAAATTAATTATTTTTGATAAATGCAACATATAGAATGTAATTTTTGTTAAATATTCAACCGACTATACTTTAGTCAAATTAGTATAAAGTTAGAGTGAAATATTAATTTTTGAATTAATTGTTATTTTTTATTTTATGTTAATACTGAATTATGCGACCTGACTTAATATGTTAACAATATTTCAAAAAATACATATTATTTGACAAGGAAAAATTATAAAAATCAATTATTACTTATTTAATGTGCTCAGTTACAGTATGTTCAGCTGTAAATTTATCATCATGAATTTTTTTAAGTTCTTATATTTTTGTCTTTCTTAGAATGAAACAAAAATGTCCAGTCAACTATGTTCTTATCCCAAAGTTTTTTAAGGATATAGGCTATGATTTCTAAAACTGATAGAGGAGAATATAATGTTTTGTTTGGTCAATAAGAGAGTTATTTTTCAAAGGTTATAAGCTCTCTAAAATACAATTAAGGGGCTAAGAACTTTCTAAAAGCAGTATTCTCAGAGCTTATAGGTTCTTGGTTGTTTACCAAATGTGCACAAACATTAAAATGCTGTTAGAGTTATACTATAGCAAAACACCCTCTAAAGCAGATACATGATCTAATATAATAAAATATAAACATCCCAGCCCTTATTCTTCTTCATCTTCTGGTATAATTTGTCAACTGGCACAATACCAGGGCAAATAGCAGACAGTTCCATTTACAGTGGCCTTGGGGTGGTGGCACCTAACCCTGTGTAGTGTATGAGATTGGTCACTAAGCACAGTTGGTGTCTGTTACTTGGTGGGAAAGAAAATGATTCAGTTCTTGATCGTCAAGACATCTTTGCATTTGATTGCTATGGTCACAACTGATATCAAGTTATTGTGGCACTAATTAAATTTAATAATTGTTAAGGGAGGAAGCTGGCTTTTATTTCCATATTTTCTCTCTCAGGTACATGAAGTTCTGAAACTGCTAAATGAGCTTCTTCCTGTGAAAGCTGGAGATGAAGGTGCTCCGCTGAGGTTGGAGAAGGAATCCTTTTTAGCAAGTCACCCTGACCTTCTGCTAAAATTTGGAAAGGATATACTTCCTAGCTTGATCCAGGTTTGTTGTCTGGCTCTTTTATTTATTTTGCCTCAAAAAATTTTGTGATACGTGTTCATCATTCTTGCAGGTGGTTAATTCTGCTTCTAGTATGTATGTTTGCTATGGCTGCCTATCTGTGATTAACAAGTTAGTTTGCTTGAGCAAGTCTGACATGCTTGTTGAATTACTTAGGAGTGCCAACATATCAAGGTGAACAAGTTTTTTCTATCCTTGCAAATCTTAAAATTATTTTATTGAAGCTAATGCTTTGGTTTGATATAACATGGCAGCTTCCTGGCTGGGGTGTTTACTCGAAAGGACCATCATGTGCTTGTAGTAGCATTACATATCACTGAAGTGATCCTGCAGAAGCATTCTGATACTTTCTTGAACTCTTTCATCAAAGAAGGAGTCTTTTTTGCTATTAAAGCACTGAGGACACCAGGAAAATGTCCACAACTGAACTTCCCAGTATTTAGTGGCGTCCAACTTTCAGCTGACTCTGGGCAGAGGTCATCTACAAGGGAGGTTCTGAGATGCTTATGTTTTGCATTTGATACCAGTCAATTTCCTTCACCTTCACAGCCAGGAATTTGCAAGCTTGAAAAGGATTCTGTATGCGCACTTGCAAATCGTATTAGAACCACATACTTTGACCCTGACATGTTTGACTCAGAGAAAGGGCTGACTGATATCCTGCAAAATCTCAGAACTTTTTCTTCTGCTTTGCATGATCTCATGATTGTGTCCATTGATCATGATGCTAGTGGTCAACACGAAGAGAAGTTTTATTTTATATTACATCAGATTATGGAAAAGCTTAACGGGGAAGAGCCTGTTTCCACATTTGAATTTATTGAAAGTGGAATTATGAAATCATTAGTGAATTATTTGTCTGATGGTCTCTATCTGAGAGATGACGTCGAATTTCATGGTGGATGTAGCCATCCAAATGTTGTGGCAAAAAGATTTGAGGTGTTTGCAAGGCTGCTTTTGTCTTCTTCTGACTTCTCAAGCAATGGGTTGGCTTTAGCCTCATTGATACAGAAACTACATGGTGCACTATCTTCTTTGGAAAATTTCCCAGTTATTTTAAACCATACATACAAACAGAGAAATTCATTTGCTACTGTGCCAAATGGGCGTTGCACTATGTATCCATGTCTAAGAGTTCATTTTATTAGAGGGGAAGATGAGACAGACCTTAGTGATTACTCCAAGGATTTTGTGACAGTTGATCCTTTTTTGTCATTAGATGCCATTGAAGGATTCTTGTTTCCTAAAGTCAGCTTAGAAAGAACCGAATGTGTTGAACCATTGCCATCAAAGGCGAGTTCAAGCAAAGGTGAAAGTTCGGGTCTCATGGAGACTGACAGGGCAGCAACTGATATACCTGAGATGAAGATTGTTGTAGTAGGTTATGGACTTTAGCTAATTGCAGTTTGTATAAGAGTAGGATCTTAGTTTGTGTTTGCTGGTGCTTGATGATCTTCTGACCATTTTTATTATTATTCCAATTGGATTTGTGCAGGAAGATGATGCTAAGGTATCAGATCAAAGTTCTGAGCAAGCAGAAAATGTGAGACAATCAAATTCTGGAGATACATCCTTAGACGAACTGGTGAGTACACCTTTAAGCAGCTTGCAGATATAAGATTAAAGCCACAGGTGATACCAGTTTGGTTCAACTCTAGCTTGCTTTGTCCTTCAGTTTTAATCTTGATCTGTGTTGTGTATGGTTTCTGGTTTAAATGGATTTGATCAGATGTGCTTCATACTTGCAACCACCTTGTCACTGCCCAATCTTGTGTTTCTGATCTACCTCATAGCTGCTTCTTTCTTATCATTAGGCTGTTTGTTCTCCTTTCTAGCTTTTCTGCACTAAGATAGGCCTTTAATGGCTACTTTGCTATTTTCAGGATTCTACAAAGCAAGATACACATTTTTCTCATGATATAAATCACAATTTGAGAACCAAGCTGCCTGAAACATCTAGCAAGGACAATGCTTCCCCGAGACTGTTATTTTTCCTAGGTGGTCATCAACTGGATCGGTCTTTGACTCTTTTCCAAGCAATCCTCCAACAACAATTGAAATCAGAACATGAGATTTTTACTGGGGCCAAAGTTTGGAGTCAAGAATACACAATAACCTATAGAAGAGCTGTTGAACGTGCCGAGCCTGAAGCATCTCTGTGTTCAGGACGAAATTCTCTTGTGTCTGATGAAGTTGGGGTGTATCTGAAAGATATCCCATTATTTTTTCTGAGCATGTGTGTTTGTGGACTTGCCTCTGATCTAGATAAGTCCAGCCCTACGTATGATGTACTGTTTCTGCTCAAGGTTTTGGAAGGCATGAATAGATTTTCATTTCATCTGATGACTCTTGACAGAGTGCATGCTTTTGCCGAAGGAAGACTTGACAATTTGGATAATCTGAAGGTAGCAGTTTGTTCAGTGGCACAAAATGAGTTTGTGAGCAATAAGTTATCAGAGAAACTAGAACAGCAAATGCGGGATATCCTTGCTGTTTCTGTTGGTGGAATACCACCATGGTGTAATCAGTTAATGTCTTCTTGCCCTTTTTTATTTAGCTTTGAGGTTAAATGTAAATATTTCCACCTGGCAGCATTTGGTCCACGCCAATTTCAGTTTCACCCTCATAATAATTCAGGTGCCCTGAGTGAAGGGCTTGCAACAGTTGGAGTTTTACCTCGTAAAAAGTTTTTGGTATCACGGGATCGGGTTCTAGAGTCTGCTGCCCGAATGATGGACCAATATGCTCATCGCAAGGTACTTATTGAAGTGGAATATAATGAAGAAGTTGGTACTGGTCTTGGTCCAACCTTGGAATTCTACACCCTTGTTAGTAATGAGTTTCAGAAAGAAGGCCTAGGTATGTGGAGGGAGGATCATAGTTTCTTTACCGGTAGATTAAGTGAAGATTTAGGAGCGATTTCGTCTCCGTTCGAACTTTTTCCACGTCCATGGTCATCTGCATCAAATACATGTGACGGGACACAGTTCTTTGAAGTACTGAAAAAGTTTGTCCTTTTGGGACAAATTGTAGCAAAGGCTCTTCAAGATGGAAGGGTTTTGGATCTCCCCTTCTCCAAAGCCTTCTATAAGGTTATTCTTGGGCAGGTACTCTTCTGGTTTCTGAATTGTTGAGCAGTGTTATTATAATCTTATGATTCGACTTGATTCGATAATAGAACAATATGAGTTATATGGATAAATCCTAATATTTCCTGGCACTGCCAAAAAAAAAAAATCATCATATTTCCTGAATTGGAGGAGAATTGTGGAAATCATTATTGAAGTGTGTTGTTCGATTTAGTTTTTCCAATTAACTCTATTCTAACTAAAACCAAATTTAATTAAGTATTTTTTGGTAAGTTATTTTTATTTGCTTATGAGCTATAATATTCACACAAGTTATTTTGAAAAAAGTACTTTTTAGTTCTTTATAATACTAATATAAATTTCTATTAAGAATGATTTCATGTGTATTTAATTGAATATCATACTCCTATATACAAGTTTTTTAGGATGAAAGGAAAATAAACAATTAATTATGATTAATTATAGAAGGTGTAATTTATTCTTATACCCTTTAACCTAATTTACCGTCTTTTTAACATTCCTCCCCAAGCTGGAGATTAGATATTATTCATCCTAAACTTGCCAATAAAAGTTTGGAATTTTGGTTGCTTAAGTTTTTAGTTAACACATATGCTAGTTGAGAATTGGTAGACATGTATAGGGTACATATTAGTATATTGTTAAGTTTTTTCTTAATAAAATGTCTATCAATCTTGATGGGCTGCTTACGGTCTCTTGTTATCATAGTAAGGCGCATGGAATTTTCCCATTTGATTATAATGCCATTCAAAATTCTCTTTTCTATAATAGTTCACATATCTCTTGTGCTATTGCCCAAAATTTTAATTTTGCACTTGATCTTGTGAGTATAATTTGCTTATTACTTCTTTAGGTAACTAGATTACACCTAAGGAAGGTACAATAGCCTATAGTAAATCTTTTGTTTACAACTGACCCTGTATGATTTGCATTAAAATACGCTTCTGGAAGCAATTTATCATTCTTACTCAACATAATTCTTTTTCTTAGTGATATTTTTAGGTTTTGTAGTACTCTGTATGCTGTTTATAGGTCTATTTCTTTCAGATTGTGTATGAATTGACTTTTTAACACTGACTGCATAGACGATGTTTAATTTCGTGTGAAATAAATAGATCAATTTTTAAACTAATCTTGACATATTTTCTTAGTTACTGTCGATCTTTTTCTATTATTACTAATTTGTGATTAAGATTGGTAAGAGCGCTAATTGGTTTGTATGCTAACTTACCCATGTCTTTTAACAGGTCATGAATGTATTTTTGTTGGAAAATAAAATTCTAAATCTAGAGTGGATAGTATCAATTCCTAGAAAATATTTCAATTTGCTTAGTTCTTTGATTTCAAATTCTTTTGTCAAACACAATGTTAGTGTCAGTCATTCATTCTCATCATTTTTTGTTATGATAATGTCATCAATATATATTAGAAGAACTGTAACTACCCTTGTTTCTGACTATTTGATGACATTTTTACGCTAAATTGGCATAATTGCCAATAAAAGTACGTAGATAATGATGGCAAGATTTGTGTAGTGTTCATCTTGACATAGGTTCATATATCTCTTGGTAGTCTATCTCATATGTTTATGTATAGTCTTTTGCCACTAGTCTCGTTTTATATATCTTGATTGTTCGATCTATTTTATATTTGATTGTGAAGACCTATTTGTATTCTATCAGTTTCTTGGTTTTAGATAAATCCATCACTTTCTAAGTTTGGTTTTTTTCAACTGTCTATATTTCCATACTCGTAATATTTTTCTGTGTTTGATTGGATAATACTTTAGATACTGTATTAAAAATAGACTAATTATTTAAATTTGTGAGAAACTTTCTATGAGTTGATGAACACTTATCAAATGACACAAACTGTAAGATATGGTACAAATGGTGTTTAGTGCATTATCTTGTATCTTTGCAAAGTGTAATAGATATATTGTTATTAAATCATATAGTTTTTCGGGACTTACCTCAATTTTAGAATCAAGGTCGGATTCTTGGATTGGTTTTGGCTTAGTACTTGGTATCTTCCTTGTTGTATACACCTGAGAAAATCTAAGGTTTGATATGATCTCTTAATAAGATAGATTTTGTAGGTTTTCTTGTGGTGATGAGTTTTCTGGAGGGTTTTGAACGTTTTTTTATGGTGTGTTGAGATGTGTGGTAAAGATGATAGGTCAAAATTCGTTAAGAATTTCATATTCTTATCTTTCAATATAAGCTTCAACTGAAGGTAAGGTTGGATGAAGTAGGATTTTTATTTAACAAACGTGATGTTTACATACACATAATTTTTGAGGGCGGATGATAACATTTGTACCCTTTTTGAGAGGAGTACCTTACAAATACACATTTCAGAGCTTGAGATCAAATTTTCCTTTTTGGTAGAAATAAATATGAACAATGACAACACACTCGAATATTCGAGAGACTTGATGGTTTGTGATATTTACTCTTAGGTAATACTGTTGAAGTGTCTCGAGAGAACATTTGAAGTCAAGAACACTTGTGGATATGCGGTTAATAATGTAGGTGACAGTAAGAATGATTTCGCCTCAATATTATTTTGAGATCTTATTTTGGAATAGAAAAGCTTTGGTGGTGGTTAGCAGGTGGCTATTTTTGCATTTCGCTACTTTTTTGTGTTGTGAAATACGGATGCAAAATGATTTATGAAGAATTCATTTCTGATGGAAGAATGATGAAGATGTGTGATTGAATATTGCTTAAATTGAATTTTTTTATGAATGTTTCAAATTGGATTTTTATCATATTGCATAACTGGGGTATGAACATCAAATTCAATTTTGAGTAAGAATAGCCATGTGACTCTAGTGTAAGTATCAACAAATGATACAAACCATCGAGTTTTAGAAATATTAGATGTTTTAGTTGGTCTTAAATATCATTGTGAATTAATAAAAATAGAAACTTCTCTTATTATTGGTTAGAAATGTTTCATGCTTATGTTTTGCAAACTCACACATATTGTAGTATAAATTTTTATATTTTGAATTTTCAAACAATAAGGGAAACATGACCTCCAAAATAGAGAATGATGGGTGCCCAAGTTCCTTATTGTGGAGCTAAATCTTTCGAATGAGGTCGGTTGATAATAACAACTGAGAAGGATTTTTCAAGTGCATCCAAGTAGTGGAGTCATAATCTAGCTTCAACACATCCAATCTTCTTCTTCGAATTTGATTTTTGAAGTTAATGCAAAAAGTTAAAAGTTACTTTGCAGTTCAAGTCTTGTGAAAATTTGCTTACTGACATAATGTTAGTGCTCAATTTGCCGAAATGTATTGTATTTTTTAGGACAAAGGTAGAGCTGAGCTTAATGTTTCCCTTGCCAACAGTGGTATTTAGGGAACTATTTGCAATAGTAATCTTCTTGTTACTTAGATAGAGAACATATATCTAAATTTTTTTTGGACTATTAGACATATAATAGGTGGTTCCTCAATAGTTCATGAATTTTCAAATGGTTTATTGAGGCGTTTAAATTGTGTAAAAAAATAAAGTGTACTTGAATGTTTTATTACAATTGTACTCATAGACTTCTCAAGGTCCTCCAATCGAGTTTGTGCTCGTTCAATCTCAACCTTGAAAGTAGTGAGATTAGTAGGTGCTTTTTCTTCATGTTAGTTAGCTATATGAACTTGTTCCAAAATCTTCTGTTAGATATCTTTGTAATTTTTTCCTCTAATGTAATGGCCCGAAAATCCGTCGACTGTGTTTCTTATGTTTTTTTGTAGTTATTTGGCTTGGATAGGTGTAAGGAAGTAGCCTTAGATAAACGGAAGGAAAAACAGGAAAAGTAGCCTATGAAAACCATAGTTTTCGATTATAGGGAGAAAACTGGCCTCTTGGGAGAAAAGCATATCGTGATATCAAAATAATAGGAATTTAAGACCGAAATTTTGGGGAATGATAGTTCACATATTAGAAAAGAAAAGTGCAGAAGAGAAAAATTTTAGAGCATCATAGTTTGTATCAACTATATTTAAGGGGTATAAATGCTTTTGCATTTTTTTATATAGGTGAAAATTATATTATTTTATTTAAGATGAGTGTTTATGCTCTGGTTATGCCCAATAAAAGAGGGTGTGGACCGTGACAGGTGATATCAGAGCACGATTTTAAGATATTTCTTGAATACGAGGCTTAGGATTACGTGAGACTTGAATCTAGATGGAATAATGAAACGTGAACCTTAGGGTTAAGCAGAACTTAGATAGAAGAATGGAACATAGTGAAACCCTAAGTTTGAAATTTTTAATTATAGCAAATGTCAAGGACAAGAGAAGAACAAGCGCGACAGGATTTGAAGGATCGAAACGAGCAAAGCCTGGATAGACTTAAGTGCGTAGTTGAAGGCATGTCTACAGTCGTAAGCGAACACATAGTACATAGCAAAGCCAATAATGGTTACAATGACAATATCAGTAACACCCAGTTAGTGGAAAGGAACAACCAGAAACGTATTGAATGATTCAGGAGAATGAATCCACCCACATTTGCAGGAGGATCTTATTCAATGATAGTAGAGCAGTGGGTGATGTAAGTGGAGAAGTTGTTCGAAGTCCTCAGCCCTACCTCAAAACAAAAAGTGCGTTTGGCTACATTTCTATTACAAGGAGCTGCAGAACATTGGTGGTGATTGAAGAAAGGCTCCCTCAGGACTCTAATCCTTTTAGAAGCCTTCATAGCAGCATTTTTCGAGGAGTACTTCCCAACTTTGTTCAAGAACAAAAGGAGAGGGAATTCTTAGAGCTAAAGCAAGAAAACATGATGGTGGGTGATTATGTGGAGAGGTTTATTGAGCTGACCTGACTCGCACCACATCTGGTAACAAGTGATAGATGGAAGTTTCAGAGAGGCTTACACAAGGATATTTGGGACAAGATTTCAATTTTGAAAATCACTAATTATGAAGAGGTGTTGAAACGGTCGCAGATCGCTGAAGAGGCTATTGCCCCACATTTCACCATACCCCTTGAGCCAGGAGCTTTGTGCCCCACAATAAAATGAAGCTGT